ATTTCAACAATTTTGTAAAATATACGTAAATTCATTAAAAACAAACACAATTTTTGGTTTTAAAGATAATTGAGTGAAAATTAAAGTGAGTTAAGTAGAAAACAAATTGCGTTAAAGCAAAAAATGGTAACGTTTCTTTTATGACAATTAAGTAAAAAGTTGTTAATTATAAACAAAATCAACGTTTTACTTTTAATAATGAAAATGTAATCCATAAAATCTGTCGCAAAATGAGCGAAAATATCTTTATTTTATTATTGCATCAATTTTTCACCAATTTTTGGTCTTGAAGATTCAATTTTTGCGTGATGAAATTGGTTTATGCATGTTACAAAATTATTGAATGAAAATTAACGTGAGTAGAGTAGAAAAGAAAAATGGTAACGTTTCTTTTATGAAAATTTAGTAAAATAGACGTAAATTCAGTAAAAAGTTGTTATTTATAAACGAAATCAACGTTTTACTTTTAATAACAAAAATGTAATCCATAAAACCTGTCGTAAAATGAGTGAAAATATCTTTATTTTATTATTGCATCAATTTTTCACCAATTTTTGGTCTTGAAGATTCAATTTTTGCGTGATGAAATTGGTTTATGCGTGTTACAAAATTATTGAATTAAAATTAACGTGAGTAGAGTAGAAAAGAAAAATGGTAACGTTTCTTTTATGACAATTTAGTAAAATAGACGTAAATTCAGTAAAAAGTTGTTATTTATAAACGAAATCAAAGTTTTACTTTTAGTAACAAAAATGTAATCCGTAAAACCTGTCGTAAAATGAGCGAAAATATCTTTATTTTATTATTGCATCAATTTTTCACCAATTTTTGGTCTTGAAGATTCAATTTTTGCGTGATGAAATTGGTTTATGCATGTTACAAAATTATTGAATTAAAATTAACGTGAGTAGAGTAGCAAAGAAAATGGTAACGCTTCTTTTATGACAATTTAGTAAAATAGACGTAAATTTAGTAAAAAGTTGTTAATTATAAACGAAATCAACGTTTTACTTTTAATAATAAAAATGTAATCCATAAAACCTGTCGTAAAATGATCGAAAATATCTTTATTTTATTATTATTGCATGAATTTTCCACGATTTATTTCTAGTTTTTGTTTGAAAACAATTTAAAAATTAAACATTTTAAAAATTTAAAAACAATTCAAATTTTGCGTGATGAAATTGGTTTAAGCATGTTACAAAATTATTGAATGAAAATTAACGTGAGTAGATTAGAAAAGAAAAATGGTAACGCTTCTTTTATGACAATTTAGTAAAATAGACATAAATTCAGTAAAAAGTTGTTAATTATAAAATAAATCAACGTTTTACTTTTAATAACAAAAATGTAATCCATAAAACCTGTCGTAAAATGAGCGAAAATATCGTTATTTTATTATTATTACATCAATTTTCCACGATTTATTTGTAGTTTTTGTTTAAAAACAATTTTTGGTCTTGAAAATTCAATTTTAGCATGACGAAATTGGTTTATGCATGTTACAAAATTATTGAATGAAAATTAACGTGAGTAGAGTAGAAAAGAAAAATGGTAACGCTTCTTTTATGACAATTTAGTAAAATAGACGTAAATTCAGTAATAAGTTGTTAATTATAAACGAAATCAACGTTTTACTTTTAATAACAAAAATGTAATCCATAAAACCTGTCGTAAAATGAGCGAAAATATCTTTATTTTATTATTATTGCATCAATTTTCCACGATTTATTTGTAGTTTTTGTTTAAAAACAATTTTTGGTCTTGAAAATTCAATTTTTGCATGATGAAATTGGTTTTAGCATGTTACAAAATTATTGAATGAAAATAACGTGAGTAGAGTTTATGACAATTTCTAAAATGGATGTTCAAAAAATGTGTGTTAGTCTTGAATTAAAATGAATATTTCGGTCCAATTTACGACCATTATGATATATTAGTCAACAAACTATTATCTAATTGGGTTTGCGTTCATTACCATTGAAATGTATGTATTCTTACGAACGCTCCGCGTTAATCGTCCTCAATTATCGTGACTCACTCATCTTTTCGCGTCGCATTGAAATCACGTTTACAATATTTGTGCTCCGTTGTTTATTGTTTGCTCTCCCTATAGATGTTTGTTTGTTCTATGTATGGAATAAATATTGTTTACGTGAGATTAGACTAATTGCGAAAAACCGAAAAACTATTCTAGTTCATCTTCGGTACGCACCGTCGTTTCTGCCTGCGATTTCAGCGCAAATGTGGGTGGAGAAGCTCGTTAAGATCAATTCTAATGGGTTCGGCGAACTCCGTCCGGTCTCCTTATCTTCGCCACCTCCTGCAGCTCAACATCACATTGTAATTCATTTCAGAAAAAAAAAATACATAAAATATGTGTACGTATGTACAGTACAAAGAAGAAAGAAAGAAAAACACGTTTGGTGCGCATCCAAATGCATCCTCCTCGTGCACGTATCGAATTCAACTCGGAACGGATATTCTTCAAAGTCTTGAAGAATATTTATTAGTAGACTTTCGTTATTACGTTACTCAAACACTAATCCGGTCAAAGGTTGAACATGCCTATATTTATCGTTAACAAACACTAAAGTAATTACATATACATTTGTATAATTATTGATTAAGTTTCCTTTCGCAGTAAGATATTTGTATAAATAAGTTTGATAATTCATATACAAATACAAATTAAAAATTACACAATAGTCAATTTTATCAGGTAAATATTTTTTGTTTTCGTAATTTTCCTTTAAACTAAACTGGTATGATCTTAATTAGTGATTAGGTATTGTCCGATGAGTCTGTTTGCTGACCGATAATGCGTTTCCAGAAAATCTACTAACTTGCAATGATAAACGTCATTAAATATTTACGTAAACACGATTCTCGCACGTCTCAAAAATAGTAACCATTTAGTTATTAACGTTCGTCTAATTAACTAATTAACGGATGACTACAACTATGTAATAAAATAAATCGTGGAAAGAATGTATTCGCATCTATTAGTAATTAAAAGTGATTTTTTATATATGTTTATTTGTAAATGATTGCTGTTTATTTTTCGAAAATGACTAACTTGTTTAATGTCACGTTTGACAGATGTCGAAAAAGTTAACCTTCGAATTTCTCGGTTTTGTCTGAAATTTGTAATTTATTATTACATGTACATTTATAATCTATATATCAGTTATAAATTCTTTTGTCTTTCTTATTTAAAATGATTTAAATTTAGAAAAGTAAAAACTAACTAATTACATAATAAAATTATGTAAAAGAAATTCACGCTGTAATTCTTTCGATAGATTTATAAGTTTCTAAATTTTTAGTAAATATTGCTTTTTTTTCTCGATAATTGGTAAAATTTTAAGTATTTCATGAATATTTGAATTATAATAAAAATAATATATTTCGTAATAACTAACTAATTACATAATAAAATTATCTAAAATAAATTCACGCTGTAATTCTTACGATAGATTTATTTGTAAAATTTTTAGTAAATATTGCTTTTTTTCACCATAATTGGTAAAAATTTAAGTATTTCATCAATATTTGAATTATAATATAAATAATATATTTCGTAATAACTAACTAATTACATAATAAAATGATCTAAAAGAAATTCACGCTGTAATTCTTTCGATAGATTAATTTGTAAAATTTTTAGTAAATATTGCTTTTTTTTTCTCGATAATTGATAAAAATTTTAAGTATTTCATCAATATTTGAATTATAATATAAATAATATATTTCGTAATAAGTTTCTAAATTTTTAAAGTTTAATTTGTTTCGATGATTTTTGTAAAATTAACATTTTTCTTAGATTTAGAAATTTGAATGTTTGGTAACTAACTATTCTATAACATTAAGATTTTTTATTATAATACATTGTTGAGATTTGAATTGAATTGAAACACTTAAAAATTAGCTGTGATTTAGATTTGTTGACAATTTAGTAAGTTTATTTGAATAATATATTTCGTAATAACTAACTAGTTACATAATAAAATTATCTAAAAGAAATTCACGCTGTAATTCTTTCGATAGATTTATTTGTAAATTTTTTAGTAAATATTGCTTTTTTTTTCTCGATAATTGGTAAAATTTTAAGTATTTCATCAATATTTGAATTATAATATAAATAANNNTTTGTAAAATTAACATTTTTCTTAGATTTAGAAATTTGAATGTTTGGTAACTAACTATTCTATAACATTAAGATTTTTTATTACAATACATTGTTGAGATTTGAATTGAATTGAAACACTTAAAAATTAGCTGTGATTTAGATTTGTTGACAACTTAGTAAGTTTATTTGAATGTCAAGAGATGATTGTAAAATGAGTGAGGTGAATATGTTCTTGTTAATTGTGGTCGGTTTATTTGATGGAACTCGAGTTTATTGGGAGGGTGCAGTTTATTTTCGAAAACGCGATAAAAGTCGCTTTTGACACATACCAGAGTATCGTTCTTTTTTTCTATTATATTTTTTCACTCTCTCTCTGCTTCTCGAATTTACAACATTGACTTTTAAACGCGATTGATTTATTGTTATAGGTTTATGACGTTGGATCGTGGGGGGTGTTGGTTTTCTGTGCGTGTTTTGTTTGTTGCGAGTCCTCCCCGTCTCCTTCCGACGCTCGCATCGCGGTGAATGCGAAACGAGAGGAGACGGAGGATGGACGGACCACCACCGCACGCGTCAATTTGATATCATCGTGGAGGAAGAGGGGCGCCCGAGATTTGGGGGCGGCGAGCGCAGTATCTCTTTCTCTTCCAACAACCTACCCCTCCCCCGACTCCTACCCCTTACGGTGTGTACATGAGTGTGTGTGTGTGTGTACGTGCACGGGGGAATGCCGTGTAGATGTGCGCGCTTGTGTGTGAGTGTGCTTGGACGCTCGGCGTCGCGACGCTCTCTCGGTTGTAGGTAGAAGAGCGCGCGCGTCGTCGTCGACGACGGTGGTGGGGATTCAGACGAGGGTGGGATGCGGGCTTCGCACCAGTTTGGAAGTCTCGTGCACGGTGCGCTTTTGTAGTATTCAGTGGGCCATGGTGGCGCGAAGTGAGAGCATGTACGGGTGCTACGACAGCTACTCTTATAGACTTTGGAGTCTCGCCAATGTGTGGAACACCTGTCAATGTGAGTAGTAGCAGTAGAGAGGTATAGAGAAAGAGAGAGAGTATATAAGCCAGATATTACATATCCACTCGAAATCGTCAAGTGTGTTTCTCGTTCGGAATTTTCGAAGCTTCCAATTGGTTTATTCGCGTTCCGTTTTATTTGCACGTGTTTAATTAGTCGAGTTGTGTGTCCTTTCAGTAAAGTTCACATGCGGGATCGGGTTAAACGGTAAGGTCAAACTCTATTGACTGTAAACAAGCGCGGCCGAACAATTAAAATTACCCGTTCGCTTCACTATCTCCTCCTCTTCCTTCTGCTTCTTCCAATCCATGGCCTCATCAAACTCTGATCCACCATTGTCCGGACAGCAGGTGGTTATTTTTTTCTACCTAAGACATTCTCACCTGTTCGCGATTGGCTCAGGTGTAACGAGTGGGAGGCGCCTCTCCCACCCACCTACATTCGACAGGTGTGCACCTGCTTAATGTCCTCCCCCTCCTTGCGCCAATCGCGTTCGATTTGCTCGCACCTGACCCGGCCCACAATTGGCCAAGGTAAAAAGCGACCATCGCGAATTTAAACCAATCACCAACGACCATCCATCTATTTTTTCCAATCCGCAATTACCACAAAAAAAAATAGAATCAACAGAGAGAGAGATAAAATAATCGTTCCGACGCGGCTCGTTTTTCCCCTTGGGACTTAGGCAACCGACTGGATTTGAATGCACGCATCAATTGGATTCTTTTTACATGTGTTGTTGAACACCTGAAAAATAATTACGCAAATATTTTTTAAACAATTAATCGCAATTGATTATTATTGTTAATATTGCTTGTTTTTGACAAGAATTCGTGTTTTGTGTACGCTTACGTTTCCTTCGACCTTTGCCTCTGGGTTATCAACTGTGTTTGTAGCCTTTATTCTTTTATGTGACCGCACGCAAAAATGTGTATCAACGTTGCTGCATGCATTGTGCATTTGCCAAAACCGAGGAATTCGCGTCGTATCTTATCGCGTCCGGAAGCTTGACTCACGCGAATTATTCAAACATCCCATCAACATCATCATCATCATCACATGATGACGCGCTTAGCACCTAAATTTACCATTGTTGTTTTTTAATCAAGTTTCCTAAGCAACGAGACAAATGTCACCACCATCGGAAAAGTGTCGCAAGCTGACGAAGGCGATCGGTATTATTATTATTATATTATCATCATCATCCATCGATGCAGTATTTATCGATTCCGTTCTGCATCCCTTTCTTTCTCGCGCACTCGATGTATTTATATATATATATTTTTTCTCTTTGTTCTTTTGTGCGTCGAATTTCTATTCCGATTATATTTTTATATATATGTATTGTTTTCTCGTTGCAGTTCCCACCCTCACGAATGGGGTGAGCAAAGAGGGCGAGGAGGGTGAATGTTTCATCAAGTGTCCGCAATGCCAGAAGGGTTGCCCGACGATACAATCGCTGAAGGATCACATGGAGATGGCCCATCCGGAGGCGTGCATCGAAGCAGCAGGGAATCTGCAGACGATGCCGAGCGCCGTTTCACCGACGCCGAGTCTCGGTGCCGGAGTCGGCGGTCCCTACGGTTGCTCCCAATGCGCCACGTCCTTCGCCAGCAAAGATCAATTGGAGAAGCACGAACTGTTGCACTCTGCAAACGCACAAGTGGTAAGCTGGGCTCTCACATCATTTTAGATTAATTCGACGCGATGTCAGATGTCATGTAAACTCTAATTAAAAAGCGCTCGCATCTTTAATATTAATAATAACGTCGGTGAATCCTCCCAACCCCCCTGTTCCAATTACTACTACGAAGACTAAGGGGGGTTTAGGGTCAAATGATCACGATCAAAACAATCATTAATTGGTGGCGGCGAAGAGAAGACACGCAGGCAAAGATTTATTTTTAGCATTTAGCCGCGAGTGGTGCATTGAATGCGCGCGAGAGATATCTCGGAGAGTTGAATGATGTGTAACGCGACGATGATAGAAGCAAAAAAAGACGATGACGAAGAAGCATCATAACCAACAACCACATGTGCATATCGTGTACTCTGATGGTGGATGGTTTGGTGCAGCGTGTGAAAGAGTTGCCTCACGTGACGCGGTAATGGACCTTAGCGGCAAAACGTCTTCTTATGTTTCTTCTTCCACCCGTCGTCTTTCGTTGCCTCCTCTCGTTTTGTTCCATTTCATTTCACATCTCTGTGCACGTTCACTTTTATTTTCTTCTCCTTTTTTTGTTTTTTGTGTGTGTATGTGTATGTGTGTCTCGCATCAACTCTTCGACCAGAGATCGCGGCTTAATGAGTTTTAATGACGCTCTTGTGCAATACTGAGAACGAGATTGTGCAACGAGCATATTTTCGCTCTGCGTCTTCAATTAACGTTACTTTTCGTTTCATCCGTGCGCAGATGAGACCAAACGATTTCCAACGAAACGTTATTTACTTAGCTGCCGCATCAATAATAATCTCACCGTCTCTGGATTACAGCTTAATAGATAGAATGTTTTGTTAATGATTTAATACGAAATATTACATTGAAATTATTCAACTCAAATATTTACATTCGATAATAAAACTTATCATTATGTCGATAATTACATATTTACAAATTGTAAATAAAATATTATTTTCATAATTAAATGACAATTATTATTGCATTTGCTTATTTTCGAGCGGTGGTATTTATAATAAATTTCATTTCGTTATCTTTTTCTTTTCAGTCTTGTAAAATCTGTAACAAAACCTTCGCCAACGTCTACCGACTGCAAAGACACATGATTAGCCACGACGAGAGCGCGGTTTTGAGGAAGTTCAAATGCACGGAATGCGACAAGGCGTTCAAGTTTAAGCATCACCTGAAGGTAAGGATTGGAAATTGAAGTGTTCGATGTTGAATGTATTTGCTGACATGTTTTTTTGTTTGGTGATATGTAGGAGCACATCAGGATACACAGTGGCGAGAAGCCGTTCGCGTGCGGGAACTGCGGCAAGAGGTTTTCTCACTCTGGATCGTATTCCAGCCACATGACATCCAAGAAGTGTTTGGTGATGAATCTGAAATTGGGAAGGACCAGAGCGCCGACGACGACGGCGTCCGGTGTATCCGAGAAGATGACATCTCCGAGCACCCGAGGACCCAAGAGGCAGCTGAACAACAACATCGCCACGACAAATCACAACGCCTATTTGCCTATTCTTCCGAAATATTCGGAGGCCGCCGCCGCATTCATCCAGAACATCCAGGCCTCCAATCCGGCAATCCATCCATTCTACATGGCTCATCACGGTCTTCTGAACGCGGCGAACGGACATCCTTTGAATCCGTATTCCATGCCAGCGTTGACGCATCTGCTGGAGCAGCTGCAGGGTTCCTCGCCTGGCCACAGGATGCAGGAGGACGCCATCAAGTTGGAGGATCAGAAGGAGTCTAATAAATCGAACTCGTCCAGTTGCGGTGATCTCATCATGGACGAAGAAGAGGTGGAGATCAAATCGGAGAACAACGACATCAAATCCGAGCTGAACAGCAGCAGCAACAACGATGATTTGGAGGCGGTCAAGAGGATATTGGACACGGTGAATGCGTCCGTGACGAAGCAATTTCTGCGTGCGAACATGCAGAAATACTCTGACAACTCGAGCGATTGTCAGAGCGTGCGGTCCACGCATTCCCCGACCACGGAGCTCTACTGCAACGGCTGCAAGAAAAATTTCGCCGGACAATTGGAGCTCGAGGAGCACGAATGCGAAACGAACGTCGATGTCAAGAGCGAGGGATTGGCCGCCAAATTGGAGGAGGCGATTGTGCCGAAAACGGAACCGCAGGAGGCGAACGGAATGGGAAGCGGTAACGAGGAGGAGGATGATAAGCAGCAGCAGGAGTACGATATGGACAGCGAGTCCGTGACGACGACGGATCAGCTTACCGAGGATGGGAGAAAGGTGCGAGTGCGATCGCTGATCTCGGACGAGCAGCTGAAGGTTCTCAAAGACAATTACAATACGAATCCGCGTCCGAAGCGCGAAGAATTGGCGAAGATCGCCGATCAGATCGGCTTCCAGGTGCGCGTCGTGCAAGTGTGGTTCCAGAACACGAGGGCGCGCGATCGCCGCGAAGGCCGTTTCATCCATTCGACCTACAATACGCCGCCCCCGCCGCCGCAGCAGCAGCAGCAGCAATCGTCGACGATGACGATCAATTCGCGCTACCCTCCTCAATCCGTGGTGCCTTCACAAACCCAGCAGTATCCTGTCCACAAAATTTACCCCCAACATTATTCCAGCGAGCAACCGCTGGATCTCTCCACCAAGAAGGAACAACCGTCGAGGGAGTCGTCGCCGGCGAGCTCGCCGCAGCGACCCTCCTCCATACACCATCATTCCGACTCGGGCGAGGAGGTCGTCAATCTCAGTCACAAATCCTCGAGAAGCCCGACACCCTTCCAGCAGCACCATCAGATCCCCCCGTACCAAAGTCATTACCAAGCGTCGAATTGCTCTTCGGAGCCGCGCCGTTCCCCATCCCCCGTCGACTACCATCTCCATCAGAATAACAACAGCAGCAGCAGTAGTAGCCGACTGGCGCACATCCTCGGACAGCCGTCGCACAAGCTCGCTCTGCCCTTCATGCCCATCGAGAGGATCATGCAGTACGGTCCGCACGACATGTCCAACTTTACGCAGCACCTCATCAACAGCCGCATCTCCAGCATCAGTCCCAACTCTGATAAACGCTCCTGGTCGGACGCGGCGGCCGCAGTATCATCCTACGGTGACATGGACTGCGACGAAGATCTGCAGCAGTCGAAACGTGGAAAACTCGCCGCGAAGGGACTGGGAAGTCCGATGCTCGGCAACCAGGAGGTCGAGATCGAGGGACAGTTCACGTGCGACCAATGCGAAAAGGCTTTCTCCAAGCAGAGTTCACTGGCCCGACACAAATACGAGCACTCAGGTAATAATAACAATAATAACAAATAGATTAAATCTAATAAGATTTCACGATGCTAATTTTCATATCTTTCTCCCAATGATCAGGTCAGCGTCCTCACAAGTGCGACGAGTGTCCGAAGGCCTTCAAACACAAGCACCACCTCACCGAGCACAAGCGTCTGCACACGGGCGAGAAACCTTTCCAGTGCTCCAAGTGCCTGAAGAAGTTCTCCCACTCTGGCTCCTACAGCCAGCACATGAACCATCGATATTCGTATTGTAAACCATACAGAGAGTAAGAAAATTGCACACACACACACACATAAAAAAACCGACCCGGTGATGATGATCATCATCACCTAAGAACTATAAGTTTATATATATATATACATACAGAAAAAAAAATCTTGCCATTTAATACTAATAACATTAATTATAAAGAATATTTGAGCCGTAGTTAGGGATACTTCTTGTACATAATCGCCTGAAGAACAACAACAACAACAAAAAGTATAAAATAATAATTATAAAAACATTAACTGTTTTGGGCCCGAATCATTAATTCATTTATCCGAAGACGCACACACACATCATACACACACACCTGTTGATTTTTGATATTCCCGCTGAATTTGAAACACTCTTTCTTCTCACGCCCAAATCGACTGGTACAAACAAACTGGCAAAATGCGCTTAAGCCTTTGTAAATTTACATTTGAAATTTAATTTACGTTTATCATTTTTTGTTTGTATCTTATGTTGATTATTATTATTTTTATGTTTTTTTTTTAAAAAAAGATTAATTATTATTTGTTGTTTGTACATACATGCAAAACAAAACAAACAAAAAAACACAAACTATATGGGATTCCGGTACCTGTAAGGAATACTCTTAACGCGAATTCGCCACAATCGACTGTCTTCCGGTTTCAAAAGTTGGATGAAGGAAAAAAAATTTTTTTTTTCAATGAGACGAGAAATCATTGAAAGTGTTATGTATAATAGTTTTTTTTTTGTAAATTTTTTTGTTTATTTTATGTATTTTTTTTTTGTTTCGTACCAAAGATCGAAGCGGGCGCCGGGGGCACTGTAGCAATTCTCGAATAATCTTCGAAGTCGTCTAAGTCATTATTAAGTGCAATGCTAATTAATTATTAATAATAACTATATATATATAGAAATATATATATTTTTTTATTCACGAGTTTCCGAAAATATTCTGTATATAATAAATAAATAGAACAAAATATGCGCGTTACCAAAGCAACCAGTAAAACAAAAATAACAACAACAACAACGAAATTTGTTAGAAAGCTATTCCTTTCTTGCTTGAATCAACGATAAAAAATGTCACCAACCAAACGAACAAAAATAATTAAGGATGTTGAAAGGAAGGAAGGGCAAATTAACGGCAACGAAATTGATTCGGTTTCGGATACATCGATTCATTTTTTCTCTCTCACTTTGATTGCGTGAAAATACCTGTAGCGAAAGTATTTATATAAAATGTATAAAAAAAAAATGTACGAAAAATTTAAAAAAAAATATATATAATGAAGTAACTAAATGTGTAAATATATGAAGAATAAGAAGAAGAAAACACACACAAATTTGCCTATTTTCGATTTGTATATTGTTATATATATAACTGATTTTTTTTCGTTGACGGAAAATAAGTACAATAATGATCAGCCGATGCGCGTATAAACTAACTATTAATAACTATTTGTAATATTCGAGAGGTGTTAATTGACAATACTAAGAGTAGTGCAGAATATAATAATTATTATTATAATATATATATATAAAAAATTAAAAAGAAAGATATATTGTAAGGATTTTCGATTCCTTTTCTCCTATAATTTCTTTCGTGAATACAATGAACAAATGGTGCCAGAAGGATAAAAATGGATAATACATTAAAAATAAATAAATACACACAAAAAAAAATCTATATATTATGTATATTATATGAAATATATTAAAATATTACTATTATTATTATTAATACTAACTTTTTGTAAGCATTTAAATTTAGGATTACTTAAGGGGACGATACTCTATATAATATATTTATATTTCGTTTGTCCGTGTGCCAATGAAAAAGGTGGGTTCTGTTAACCATTTTTTTATTAATTATTAAATTAATTGATTCTCATTTCTTTGGTGAATTGTAGGAGAACTTTAATATGAACAGATGATAAATTTTAGTCTATATATTAAATTATAAATATATATATTTGAAGAAAGTATAAAAGAAAATGAAAAGGAATATTATTATTATTATTATATATAAAAGAAAAAAAAGAATCTATGAAAGAAATCATTCCAAAATTATGTACCTAAAAAATATATAATTTCCAAATAATATTATTATGATTAATGTGTCTGTTTCGTTGCGAAACGGGGTTTATTTTCTGTTTTGTTTATTGATCGATTTGCGGATGGAAGGTGACGATGAGGATGTTTGTTGACAATAACGTAGCCATTTGATATATATAATATGAACAAAAAAAAAAGGTGAAGAAAAGAAAACCAAACAAAAAAAAATATAATACACACAAACACACACACACACTAAAAACACGACTATTTACTTACAATTTAAGAAGTGCTGTAAATATATTTGTGTAATATAAAATATATATATATATATATTTAACAATGAGGAAAAAAAAGTTATTGCATATATATTTAGCATTTATAAAAAAAAAATATGATATAAATATAAATTAAATTACCTAGTGTTTAAGTGAACTATTTCTCAATCTATTTCTTCACAACTTTTTTCTCTTTTTCTTCTCGTCTCTCGTCTCAATTTGTCTCGTCTCTGGACTCTCTCTCATTTCCAAGATGATGTAAAGCGTGTGTGCGCGCGTGTGGAAACACTGTTTTGTTTTTTTTGCGACAGAAAATTAATTATATGATAGAAATTATATTAGCTATAAGATATGAAAAAATATATATTTAATTATTTTTTATTTTTTAAATACGAATCTTTCTGTGTATAAAAAAAAAATATAGTTATATTATATATATATGAATGAACAAGAAGAGAAAAAAAAACAAGAAA